TGAGTAACAAGAAAGTTGTCATTTTGTTCACCACAGATGAAATTCTATTCCCAGACAGTAAGTGAAGCCAGATAATCAGGCCAATTTCATAAACAGTAGATCAGATTGGAGGAGTTAAAGGACTAGATAAGAAAACAAGCACTTATAGCAGGATGATCGGGATAAAACAAAGGATGATTCACTCAAAGGGGCTGCAAGGACTAATGCTGCAGACTCCTATAGCTTGTTGTGCCTTGCAAGGCCAAGAGAGATTCCCAAAGGGACTGAGGCCTGGCAGCACCCAGTGAATGGGCTCTTGCCTACCTGGCATGGAGCTGCCTCAGAAGATAGTGTGCTCCGTATCCCTGGAGGGGTTAAAGTTCAAGAATATTACTGAGGATCCAAACACTGGGAGAGAGAAAGAAATTGATGGTCCTAAAATAAATCCTCTTTGTTCTTAAAACTCTGAGTGTGGGAGTGAAGGTGATTATTCAGACCAAGCCCTTGGGTACTGACTCATTCTTATTCCACTGTCTCAGGCCTACGTCTCCAATTCTAACTTTCCAAATTCCATCACGGTAGATCAGGTATTCCCATCGTTAGAATAGTACTGTAGGTGGTTTGTGTTTGGAGAGAGGTTTAGTGGTAGGACCCCAGGTTTGTAGTGTGTTACTAGTTATCATCACAATTTTATGACCCTCTCACTTGACAGTGGGATGACAATGTGGTTATTAACCTGAGACTAGAAGAAACAAATGGGAGTACTCCCAAAACACAAATATCTCACCTCTTTTTTTCATGGGAAAAGAGTCAGCAGAAGAGGGCAAGGCAGTCAATAAAATCCTAAAGGTAATCAAAACAGATGGGGATATAATTTCATTCAGAGCTATACAAAAATATCCTGTACTCATTCTCGATACAGGAAGTGTATAGAAAGTTTCAAGGTTAGTATTTATCTTCTAAACGTAGACTTGTGGTCTTCTTATTTAATAAATTCAAACCACCAGTGGAAGAAGTCAGAAAGAATGAAGTCAGGAGAACTGATTTTCATGAGTAACATTGTTGTGATTGCATTTCTTGCACAGCCTTAATTTGTGCCTTGAGAGGTTAAGGTCTGAGAGAGTAGTGCTATTCCAAGAGCTCTCCAGGGATATTTTTGGAACAGGCCTTATTGTTCTCTAAAAAATTAATGCGTTATATTCCCAGGTGCTGTTGTCAAGCATCATTTTTCATTTAACAAAAATATGGTTGTTTAGCCAGAAATTTTAGTTCTGTAATTAAAATAGACTAAAAATATTCTGCAGCGCATCTAGAAAAAATATTTTATATGAATCATTGTGCTTCCCAGAAATTTTCCATGTTGGATCAAACAGTAGATGAAGACTTTTCTGTGTGTTTAGGATGAGTTTTTATGTTTATATATGAGCATGCAGGTGTTTTAAGAGAAATTTGAAAATCGGCAAAACGAAGTCAATTCACTATAAAATAGTTTCCAAATTGTCTGTGCAGTATTAATATTGAGGAAGAATTAATTGAAAGCAAATATTTGAGAAATGCTTTCGTATGTCTGTAGGCTACAAAATCATTGTTTAATTCATCAACAATCTTTGAGTGCTCCTCAGCATCTGGTACAGAAATGAAAAATACAGTTTTCACTTCAGAGTGCTCACACCTAGTGAGGGAAACAAACAAGGTAGAGAATTCAGCATGATGAGTGACATGAGATAGGTGAATGGGAGGCTCTCTGGGAGTACTGAGGGCCATTGCCTAGTGTAGCTAAGGGCAGAGAGGAGCTGAGCTGGGCAGCTCAGGAGTCTGCCAAGAGGGTCAGAGGGAAGCAGTTCAGGGCCAGCAGCGAGAACGGGACTGTGCAAAAGACATTTCAGCAGCTACAGTTTCTTTCTGAGAGTCCTCCACTTCCCAAATAAAATGAAAGGAACATTTATTTGATTTTTGTCAGTTTAAATATTGGCCAACCATTGGAAAATCATTTTTGAAAAGTGATTTCTTTTGCTATATTTGGCAAAGCTGGGAGTAGAAAAGTGATGAGGAAGGACCATCTTAGTCCATTGCCTTTGCCTTTGTAACTGCTACTTCTTCACAGCCTTTCTACCCAGTGCAGTTCACGTATGGGAAACATTTCTTTCCATAGTCAGCATCTTCCTGGGGAGTGTTTTGGTTATATTTTCACAAATGTCTCACCTCTTTGTATTAACAAACCTTCTCTTTGAGCTGTACTGTGGGTTTCTGCTTCTTTCCTTTTTTCCTTTGTCTAATTAGAAAAAAAAAATAGAGTGGAAGCTTTAAGGCTAGTTGTTAAATGTTCTCTTTTTTACTTAACTCCAAATGACATGTTGTTTGTAGACGTAATTAAGAAAGATCTGGACAGAGAGAGGGAGGATAATATTCAGTGTTCCTCTCAAATTGAATTTTATGGTGACAAGCTCCATATTTTACATGAAAATGCTCAGTTAGTACAGCTGTTAAACTTTAATGGTAGATAATAATGGATTTCTGTAGCCACTTTTTTGTTTTCATTCAAAAACCTAGAGGAAAATAAGGGATAAAAATTATAAATTATTTGTTTTATGTTAAAAAATATGTTTCATATTCAGTGCACATAAGCAAAGGTTTTGTCCAGTGTTAGTACCTATGAATCATTAATAAAAACAATTGCTTCTGTTTGCTGTTGACATTTTATATATGTGTTGTTCCTCCCTGAACCTTTTTCTTAAAAGTCAACTTTTAAGAAATGATGTGCAAACAAAAGGAACTATTTTATAGTTAATTGGTTTCATGTTTAAAGATGATCGATATACAACAAACTTAGCCATCGTAATCCCTCAGAAAAACATTAACTGTATTTAAGGATAATAAGAGAAAATAATCTCTTTTTAACATATTTATTGATACATAATAATTGTACATATTTATGGGGTACCTGTGATATTTTGTTTTATGGGTAAAATGCATAATTATAAAATCAAGATATTTAGGATATCCATCACCTCAAGCATTTATATTTCTATGTGTCGGGAACATTTCAAGGCCTCTCTGCTAGCTATTTTGAAATATATAATACATTGTTGTTAACTATAATCACCCTCCTCTGCCATGGAACATTAGTACTTATTCCTTCCATCTAACTCTATGTTTCTACCCATTAACAATTTCTTGTTAAAGCCCCAGTCTCAATCAAGAGAAAATATAAATAGCATGGTAAAGAAAAAAAAATTTATGACCCGATGATATGGGTTCCATTTCTGGTTCTATACTTTCCACCTTGGAGAGCTTCATTAACCAGTGACTTTCACTTTTCTTTTCTGTAAGATGGTATTGATAATATCTGCCCTCATGCCCACTTCCCTGTCTGCCTAACTAATAAGACAGATTTCCTTAGCATGTAAGTGTGTTACAGAGCCTAGAAACTCAACATGCTTCACAAATATCAGCTGTATGATAAGGAGTTACAGTACCAATGTACAAAATATGATTTTTTAAATGAGAGGCAGGACATTTATGAAGTTATATTCTATGTAAAGTATATTAACACACATTAACACATAATAGGTGATAGGAATATGCTTTTCTTCTTTCTCTTAGCTTTTCTTTCCAGCCTCTTTTTCTCTCTTGTCATCAAGTCTGCGGCTGGACTTGCCTTCTGTTCTGCTTGCATTGGTGTTTGCTGATGCTCTGATTCTGCTCTCTCATGCACAGCCCCAAAGAAATAGTGAAGCTGCCCCAACTTGTGCAAAACCCTCTTCTTAGCTTGGATACTTGGTCATATGCACATTCTAGTTTAAATTCCTATGTAATTAGAAAATATATGAGTGGAGATTGGTTTTATATTCTGTAATAATAAAACTTATTTAGAGAAGTAGGATTTATTGAGGTACAAATGTTTACCAGTTTTATGAATAACAGCATATAGTTATTTTATAAACAACTTCAGTGATATATGTTTGTGTGTTTTCTCCCAAAAGCATATTGAGCAATTATTTTCAATTTTATAATCATAATGATACCTGCAATATCTTAAGAACCTACCCTATGATTTATAGGAATTAAGTCATTAAATCCTCACAACACTATAAAGTCTGTGTTATTTCCCATTTTACAGATAGAGAAACTAACTACAGCAAGGCTATTAAGAGACAAGATATCACATTTCGGAGGTGTGGGGCTTTGTACCAGAATGACTGAGTTAATTCCAGTTCCCTTCATTATTATCTTTGCATCCTTAGACAAGTCACTTTATCTTTATATGCTTTAGTTTCCCCATCTGTAAAACATCTCATAGTGTTGTTAGGATTAAACATATCTTTTCCCTACATAGCATTTGAGGTTCTCTTAGCCAATGTTAAAAAATCTGTCCACATATTTTTAACTTTCCTTTCTTTCCATGACTAGAAGTCCTTTCTAAGAGATAATTCTCCCAGAAAATACAAATCCTATTTGGCGATTCACTGCCTTACATTTTGGTGTTCGGTAACACCATGGAATCCAAAGACAAGCTCCATCATATTCATTGTGGAGCCTGAGACACTTTACTCTCCCTATGAAAAAGTGATTTCAAATGAAACCCAGTTCTGCCCTTTCTTTCATTTTGGTTAAAACTATAGCAGGTGCTTTTCACCTTATTGAATGTGTTAGGCTCCAAGTGGCAAGCTTAAATGGTACATATCCTTTTTAAAATTATACCTATACATACTGGGTTTGACCGTTCATTTCCTTTTCCACATTATTAGTTGCATTTAACAGCTAAAGGTATCATATCAAATTATTTTATTGCTAGAGATATTGAAATTACCCTGACTTCAAGTCAGAAACAACTTTATTAAAATTTTAAGAGTGAGAACAGTAAAATGTGTTGCATGTTTCACATTTTACTGTTTTCAATTTTTGAAGAGCTTTTGTCATTGAGAAAATGAGTGCGGATAAATATGGATTGTTTTTCTGGAAAATGCTTTCTTATTTCAAAAGTCAACTGTGACTCAGTCTGTCCTCCTCTGTCATGGCAGGAACCAGTATATTCACCGTCTATGAGGCCGCCTCGCAGGAAGGTTGGGTGTTCCTCATGTACAGAGCAATTGACAGCTTTCCCCGTTGGCGTTCCTACTTCTATTTCATCACTCTCATTTTCTTCCTCGCCTGGCTTGTGAAGGTACTGCGGAGAATTGTGCTAAGAAAGCCTATGTTCTGTGATGGTTCTGCAGATCTTTGGTTTGGTTTTGGTTGCCCTCTGCTTTGTCATTCTTAGAGTTTGATAAATCTTGTTTGTGATTTTTTTCAGAACGTGTTTATTGCTGTTATCATTGAAACATTTGCAGAAATCAGAGTACAGTTTCAACAAATGTGGGGATCAAGAAGCAGCACTACTTCAACAGCCACCACCCAGGTATGGTATGAGCAAGAGGATGTCATAACCCATCCGAGCGTGCACACGTCTCACCCTCACCATCAGTGGACCTTGGGGAAGCTCTTGCATGTCGGGCTTCTACAGTCTGACTCAGGAAGCTGTCTAAAAATACAGGCACAGGCCAGGCACAGTGGCTCATGCTTGTAATTCCAGCACTTTGGGAGGCTGAGGGGGAGGGATTGCTTGAGTCCAGGAGTTTGAGACAGCCTAGGTAGTGTAGCAAGACCCCATCTCTACAAAAAAATTTTAAAAATTAGCCAAGAGTAGTGGCATGAGCCTTGTAGTCCCAGCTACTCAAGAGGCTGAGACGGGAGGATCACTTGAGCCCAGGAGGTCGAAGGTGCTGTGAGCTGCAATCACAACACTGCACCCCAGCTTGGGTGACAGAGCCCCAAAAAACATAAAAGAAAATAAAATAAAACAGGTTCAAAGGCCCAAACCCAGAACAATCAGATCAGAGCTTCTAGGCAGTGAGGGAATGACACCTATATTTTGTAACAGCTCCATGGGTGGTTTTGATACAAAACCAAGATCGTCAACCACATTTATTACATACCTTAGATTCTGACATCACAAATCCTCAAATGGCTTGCAGATAAAATATAAGCACTATGGAATTTCTGACTTTTATGAGTATTTATTAATGTACTTGCGAGCCTGTGTAATGTCTATGTGTAGGATTAGAACTTTGTAATGGAAAATATATCTCATTCAGAACAAACCACAGTGCAATAAACTATGACAATGATCCCTCAAACCCACATGCACGTTTGTGATTTTTTAAAGAATCCCTGTATATTCAGAAGGATTCCCGTAAGTCCCATAAGACAATATTGTTTCCATAAAACCATAAGGCTCCTGAGAATTTGAAGGTGGGCTACAAATTTTCTAAAAGCAGCAGAGCAGTTATTACATACGAGGGCAATTCAGATCCAATGCCTTTGTTTTTTTTTTTTTTTGGATTTGTTTCATGTGTGTGTGTTCATGGTAGTTAAAAAAAAGGAAGGGCAGGTTTGTATATCTTCTTCTAGTGTGAATCTTTATAAAAGACAGAGAAAATAAAAATTCCAGAATCAGGAATAAAATGATATAATGCCTTGTGACTATTATAATATTAAATTCTAAAGGATATTTAGCAAGTTTGTAAACACTTACAAAAGCTGTTAAGACAAAGGTATCTGTCAACACTTACAAGAACTGGTAAGACAAAGGTATCTGTCAAGGAGCCGAGGTGTACAAATTTTACTTTTGAAAACCCTCAAGTTGAACTTTTAATAATTATATGTTAAAACGCAATTTAACACACCAATTTGGGAAAAGCCTGATGGTGTTGAGGCATCTTTATGATGCTGTAAAAGTCTGAATTGTCCGGTCAGTTCCTTATAGATGAAATAGTGTCAGTCTTATTCAATTTTGACAAATAACAGTTCAAACTTCCATGAAAGGTTTTTCTGAATGTGCTATCCAGGTTATATCAGAGATGCCATGTAGAAAAGCCTTCAAGAAATCAACCATACCAAGTACTTATCTCCTCTCTCCTCTCTTTCTGCAAACTATGAGAGATAAGAAAGTTCCCAGTCTGTTCTGAGGTGACAGCCTCTAGAAGGACATGTTTTCACTTATGACTTTGAGACCCAAATGGAACATGGAACTATGATCTCAGCCCTTAACTCACATGCAGTGTTCCTGGAGATGACCTAGAATGCCTTTAAAACCATAGTATGTTTATGGAGGAACTCTCAAGTACAAAGTCACAGCTAGAAAAAATAGTGTTTGGAAGCACCACCAAGTCAGCCAATGGTTCTAATAGAAAGGGAAATGTGAAGAGACTTGAAACAACCTTGTACAAAATCATTTTGATGCAAAATTGTACTTAATCAAGAGGAATGAGTTGGTAATTCAGAGGTAATGCGTCTAGATATTCAGCAGAGGTAATCACACAGAGAATTATGAAAAACCTTCATTAAGAAAAATGCTAGAGCTGAGGACCTGGTTGCTAAGCAACCAAAGCTCCTGCTGTCAGCCTCTGGGTGAAACACCACTCAGGCAGCCTAGCAACGGGCTTCAGGCCCCGCCCACCCTGGCTAGCCACTTGCAAGGGAGCCCTCTGATGCTTTTATGTGTAGAGAAGGGAGAGACATCATTTGCCATGATGCTATTATGTTTGTAAAATATGACCAGATTCTGTGAACAGAGACTTCTCATTCAGTGGTTTAAAACACTAAATCATAAGTTACTAATTTGAAGGAATTAAAATAAAGATGATTATTGTAACGCACACAGCTTTTCGAACATGGAAGTTCATTCTTGCCTTTCTCTAGCATATGGAAAATTTGCAGTTTTTAAATATAGGCTATTCTCATCAAAAGACTAAAGGGTCCTGGGCTTGTTGAACTTGTTGATGTCTAAGTCTACAGACTTCCCATAACAGCTATGTGTGTAGAAAAAAAATATGTATATATATATGCACATTTTCAGGACAAAGAAGGGGCTTTCTGTTACATTAGGCAGATCACTAGGAATTGACTCTGATAGGGACCATTTTAAGGGAGGCGAAAGGAAATCTGTGATGAAAATTGTTTCTTTAAACTAACAAAGCAATATTTTTCAGTTGGATGGTCACCACCAAATGCCTCCAAGACACAGCATAGAAACAAATTACAGAGAGATTAATGCCAAGGGTCTTTAGGAGACCACAATATAACATGTAACTGGAAAACAGAGGGAAAATGATGTAGAAAATTTCAAATTACTAAGCATTGACTCTGCCTGGACTCTGAGAGGCTTGTGATTTCATACCTGCCTAATTCTTAGCCGTGGATAACTATTGCCTTGTGCTCAGCTGTGGATTAGGTTGAAGGATAAGTGATTCATACACTCATGATATAATACCCCCCTGTGTTAATCCACTGTAGGATTACCCAGACCACAACTTTTTAGTGATATCCCATCACTGGATGTTGGGATGTGCAGATGAGCTGAAAGATGAAGCCCTGAGTACCGTATCTCACTAACCCAGACCTTTCCTCCCATTATTTAGATGCTTTACTTCAGATACCTGTTACCAGTCCCATGGTCTTCTGACCTAGACTAGCTCATGATAAAGATGAGCTTATCCCAACTTTGCCTCGAGTAGAACTCAAAGAACTGCTAAACTTTACAGCCACACAAGGCTACTTTTCTGTTAAAATGATAAGAGACAAAAAGCAGGCTTCTGACAGTCAATACATATATAACTTTTATAAATGAATCATAGTCCAACAGGATCATATCGAAAGTTTGGTAAATAAATAAATATTCTGATTGTACAAAGACATTTCTGGGTCTGTTATTATCTCTAATTGAGCATTCTTGCTGACATGTGTTTTCTGAATTAATATCCCCTAATTAAGAGAGAAGACTGATAAAGGTAGAATTGGTGTGGGAAGAAAGGGCACTTATGAGTTTATTCTCCTTTGGGTTTCCATCAACGTTCTTAGAACGTGGGTTATACAATGCCTAAAGCAACGTATGTATAAATGTTAAGTGCTGGGTTAAAAAGTAGAAAAAAATTGATGAAAAGACACATGATGAAAAATGGAAAGAATTTCTCCTCCAAAGAGAAAGTTACATATAACTTAATGATCAAAGACAATACTTTAGCAAAAATGTGTTTACTGTGTTCCAAGACCATTCATTCCCTCATGAATATACATCATTAAAATGTGTGAGAAAACAATTCAATGAATGCATTTCAGAGCAGGGTGCTTCTAGCATAGTGTAATAATGAGCACCTTCTAATAAGGAATCATAATAATGGAATAATGCAATCATCATAGGAAGCCATAAATGAGAATTAAATTTTGTGAGGTTGCATCATTGAATATATTATTTCATAATGAAATCAAGCCAGGTATCCACTCTCACTATTTTGTGTCATAGTGACTATTAGCTATTTTTTGAAAAACCATCAATTTTCAAAGAATCCAAAGAGCATACAAATTGCAAAGTAAATTTTAGATTTTCTCTGCATTACTGTGTATGTGGATGTCTGTGTGTGCCTGTCCTGAGTTTGGAATTCTAATTCAGCTGCTAGTGATTCTCCATTACCATGATTCTTTCTCTTACCACTATCCATTAGATAACCTGTTATTCATGCTGTTGTTGATGATTATGATATTATGCCTATAATAGAACAATCCCAGAAGCATTTATAACTACTTTACAAACCAATCGATCAGTTATAAAACTCTAGCAGTTGCAGATGGACAGGCCTGAGAGAATTCTCAAAGTTGAAATCTCCATGGGCTTCCAAATGATTGTGCTAAGAGGAGAGTGCCATGGAAATTCATTTGTGTTATTGGTGATATTCTGCCAATTCAGAACGTCTTCTTACAGTCACTCCCATATATTGAGATCTGCACTAGCCTAATGGCTTTACAACCTGTCTTATTTAATCTTCACAATAATACTGTAAAGCGGGCGTTATTAATGTCTCCACTTTGCATGTAAAAAATGACAATGATTGGAAAGTTAATTATCTAACCCCATGTTATATAACTGGGTAGTGGTAAAACTGGGACTCAAAACCAGGTTGCTCAGCTGCAAGAGCCTTTTTATTCAGCATGAGATGCTACCTCCTTTCCATTTAGCCATTACAAGCCCTGCTGTCAACATGCTGTCTTTGTTCTGGCCCTGTGTTAACTTTCCTTTTCTTAAAAAAGACCATATTTATTGCTGGCTGAAAGGGACATTCGCATACATTGTTGCCAAGAGTATGAATTAAAATATCTTTTCCAGAAAACAGTTTGGCAATATGTATCCAAAAGTAAAACATATATACTATCTGACCAAGAGAGTCCACTTTTAGAAATTTATCCTAAGAAAAATTTGGGGCAGTAGCCAAGGGCATATGTTTGAGGATGTTTATGAGGCATTATGGCAATTTTTTAAAAACGGAAACAGTCTTAGTCTCTAGCAATAAGTTATCGATTATAAATTATGAAATTGGAATAAAGGGAAACCATTAAAATAAGCATTGAACTTTATTGATGTGAAGATATGCTGATGACATATTAGTACAAAAAAAGGATCCCATGTTTGTGTGTGGGATGCAGGTGTGTGTGTGTGTGTGTCTGTGTGTGTAAAATACCTGGAACATTAACTCTAAAATGTTAGTGGTGGTATATCTGGGGAATGGGTTTAAGATGTTTCTTTGGCAACTAATCCTCATTTTCTAAGCCTTTAACAGTAAAATATTTAATTATAGAATGAGAAAGGAAAATTGCATCAGTAAAATGAAAAGAAAAAATAATAGACACTCTAACAGAAACCACATGTACTAGTTAAGTTACATTCGGTTGCAAGGGACCAAAAAAGCCCGAAATAAGTTGCTTAGGTGAGGTATGCGATGAGGAATCCCGTTCTCTCTCATATAAAGTCGGAGGTGCTCATTCAGCATGGTATGGTTGCCTGTGTTGCCACAGATCCAGACACCTTCCCTCCCGTTCCAGTTTGCACAGCCTCCATTACCACAGTCACCTTGTAGACTAGCATGGCTGCTGTAGCTCTAACCCTCACATCCATATTCCAGAGCACAGGAAGAAGAAGGAAATATAGGAAAAGAGGGTTTCTGCTTACATCCTATAGTCCTGTATGTAGTTACATGGTCAAGGTCAGCTTCAAAAAAAGACAAGAACTGGCCTTTTTTCTTGGTAGCCTAGTGACTCCATACAGATTCTCTTTGTAAAACAGGGAAAAGAGATACAAAGGAAAGACTGGCAGTCCCTGCCACAATCCCCACAAGGATTTGAGTCTCTGAGGATTCTTGGCTTCTGCTAGCTAGCCCAACTTCTGTCTCAAAGATCTACTGTAATATTAACCAATCGAAATGTTGCATAATTCAGGGGACTAAAGAGAAATTGAACGTTTTTGCATTTCCTTTACTTTATTTCATACAAATAAATGACCTGAGAATACTTTTACTGAAAATTAAATTGATTCTTTTGATTTTGGTCTACTGAAAAAAACATAATTTAACAGAGAAAATTAGTCTGCTACTGATCAAAGTAAATATATGCCCCAGGGATCCTTTATGCCACAATTA